TATATATATTTATATACATTTACAATAAAATGACCTCAGTGATACATGTACACAAAAACCCCAAAACAAAAAAAAAACCCGAACCCAAAACAAACCACTGGGTACTCCTGGAAATGTAAGTACATAACACTGTCAGCATATCTACAGGCGGTAACTTCATATTCATTAGTATTGTCCGCATGAGTTACCATTTTAAGAACTACACAGGAAAATCCATTTACAACTTTCTGCAATGTCAGTTTTTCTGAATGTTGATCTTCAGTCTCTCATACACTTTCACATGATGAATGGGTTGCTTGGCTTTGTATTCTTCCTATAGCACAGTTTTTATATTGATTCCCCCCCTAAATAATAATAATAATAAACAAAAGAACAGTAGTACTATTGGGCATGATCCAGCTGGACCCATAGTACAGTAGTACAGCATCATGCAAGCCTTGACACTCTCTCCATCCCTCTCCAACTTCGTTCCCTCAGCTGAGGGCCAGCCATTACTTGCTACGGGTAACTCCTGTGTGCCTCTTATAGGTAGGTCCACTCCTTCCTAGAGCTATTTGCAAAGTTTTATCTAGCAGCCTGTACATGCAGCTCTGGGGAGGACGGGACCTGTTGGATTTACTTATGGGAGGTGCATATTAGCTGCCCATAGCAGGTCAGGGAGGGTGCTCGGTAAGGTACATGCTCCCAGCCAGGGGGTCGGCAGGGGCAGGAGAGGGCAGGACAAGGCTTTGCACAAGGAAGGATGGATCGTGCTCAGGTGTTTTGTAAAAGCTTGCAAAAGTAACACATTGCCATTAAAAAGAAAACAATAAATAAATAAAGGGAGTCATTATTCAAACAATACAATGAAGTAAAAAGGCTGCTTAAAAAAAGAAATACATTTTTAAACCCCTTCAGCCCTGCTGTTGCATCAGTGATGTGAATGCTTCAGGTACTAGTTGTTACATAGTTCACTGTGGAAGGAGAATAACGTCTCTGCCAGAGAAGCTGTAAAATTTGTAGAAAACCTACACTGCTTTATTAAAGCGAGTATAGGCTTTTGGAGAATTTGTCCATTCTTTAGCCCTTTAACACCTGTCTATAAAGTATTTGTTTACATTTTTACAAACATAATTAATATATATATATATTTAAAGTATGCAATCTTAGGGGGGGGGAGTAGCTGAAATAATTTTAAAGAATTTCCATGATAACTTTATCTGATGGATTTACTAGAATTCTCTAAATCAGATTATTTTCAACTACATTTTGACCTCTACAATCAGCTTTGCAGAGAAGTGCATTTTTTTGGCATTTTAGTCATTTTTTGGTAAATGTTTTGCCAACTCATCTGCTACATACACTTAGGCATCAGAGCATGGCTGAGTGGTGAGGTTTGGCAAGCTGCTTGACTTTGGGTGCCATTGGTAGGGAGTAAGAGGTGAAGGGAAGAATTCCCCTTCCTGGGTCTGCATTTCAGTCTGAAAAGTTGACAGCAGCAGATTGCTAGAATAATTTCATGGCAATCCAAAAACCACACACATTCCACCCACTTCTAACACTGCACTTAACGCTCTCGTGATAACTGTGGAAGTTCCATGCAATGCATGATACATGTCCATCACTGTGACACCCTCAATTGTGTTCCAATTAAAAGTTACAAAGGGCAAGGGGAACTTTGGACTCCTTTGGACTGAACCCCAGGAAGTAGTTCTTGATGTTAGCACACAAAGCTGTGTTTCTACCCAACTTGATACTGCAGGATTTTAATAAAAATAACTCAGTCTAAAGCTGCTAGTTTCAGCAGGTTAAAATATGGAGCTGGTGAAACAATATTTATCCTTTCCCCCATTATTGTAAGGTGATTTCATATCTCGCTCAAAGGCCACATACTAAATGTAAGCATAGATGCATCCACATCTAGAAGGAATCACTACTCACACTGCAGTTAGTTAGACAAGTATACGTGCATCCAAACATTTAGGCATGGTTTTGAACGGGTGGGAAAAGAGTTAAGCACTTTCTTCTCCTTTTCTCCAAATCGTAGCCTTCCAAGGCTGCTTTTTATTTTTTTAACATTTAAACATTTTTTGAAAGTCATGTTTCATTGGCATTCCAGTCTTATCCATATGTTACATCCTGTTAAAATCAATGGCAAAACATCCACTGATTTTAGATATATCCCACTACATCCTTGTACTACTGGTAAAACACTATGTTTTCTAACTCAGTACATACAATATATTTGTGGACAGGGCTAATCTGCAGTGCCCCCATTTAAAACTAACCACATCGGTCCCAACCCTTCTGCTTACATTAGGCACAACCCACAAGCTATACATACTTAGGCACTGCCAATAAATGGTGAACATGTGTAGGCAGGGGCATGGCAGCTCACTCACATGTGGCATGTGTTTTCGCCACACTACAGATTTTGCCCCTGTCCACAAATACATAATGTGCACCAGCCGTGTTGGTCTGAAGCAACAAAACAAAGTTTAAGTTTAGTGGCACCTTTAAGACCAACAAAGTTTAATTCTGAGTATAAGCTTTCATGACAAAAGCTTATACCCATAATTAAACTTTGTTGGTCTTAAAGGTGCCAACTGGACTTAAGCTAATGTGCTAAAACAGTACGTCTAATTTGTAGGAAAACTTTTGAGGTAGAAACAGCACCTCAAACATGAGGCAACTTTCCCCTCTGTTTTCAAGCAGTACATGTGCCACTGTGTGGTAAGATGATCTCTTGAAAACTCCACATCTTCAAAAACTTCATTTATTTGAGAGGTCGTACAACGTTGGAGGTGCATTCACTAGAGCACTGTTGTACATGAAAATGTAATCGAAAAATGATTTTCTGGTAACTATTTCCACTCCAAAAACGGTTGTCCGAATTGATCTTGATGGGGAAAAAAAATACAAAGTCTTCCTGGGATATATGAGGAATAAAAGAAAATTCTTAAATAGAAAAGAAGCAATAACAGCAATGTGTTACCTTTACAATTTCTAATACAAAATATTTTGCATTGCTTTGTGACATATAAATTATGAGTGCCTCCAGATCAAAGTATAAAGTGGGGGACATAGGCTCAATGTCAGAGAAATAATAACTGGAGGGCCTATTTAGGACCATGTCTTTCGAAGTCAGTCACTGACTGGTCCCACTGGGGTCTTACGGCAACAGTTCTTCTCCAAAATATGAGAAGCCTTTAAATTCCTCTTGGTTGATTTGCTTTATAATTGTGTCATCCACCGGCGTTAGTACTGGATCTTCTCGTGTAAAGTCTTGATCAAAGTTATTTACATCCCTTTTGGTTTTCTGAGGAAGAAAAGCAGAACATTATGGATGAGAGGTGGTGTCATGCTAACAACCAAAACATACAAATGCAGCTTTGTGAGCAGTGTGAGACTGAGTTTTCTTGTTTGGTTTCTGAAACAAGACAAAGTTTTCTGAAATGATATAAGGAAAAGGTACTTCACAGACAAAGATGACCAGGCAAAATCACAGAAGCGAAGAATGGTTTGGGAGAAGTCAGTTGGCTTTTTACAGAGAAGCTGGAAGTGACATGATGACACAGCATATTGTTGACGTCATGATATTACACAGCAGTCAGAACTGATGTATATTTAGGTGAGCAGTTATTTTGAAGAAGTACGACATGACTTCAAAAATGTCTTCTCTAGAAATGATGTCACAAACTGATAAAAGTTCTTCTGTGATGACAAGAGGCCAAGGGAAGAACCTACAATGAAGTACACACTGTGGCTTTTAAATCTCTTGGGCTGCGGTCACACAAGCAGTTTGTCATGACATACTAGTGTTACCTGTGTGGATTTAAAGGGCTCGATCAGACAAAATCTGCCTTCTGTGGCCCAGCTGTCGGCAGCCCGTCCCGCTCTGCATTAGAACTGGAGTAATCAGGCACCAGGGAAAGTCCAGTAGTAAGAGATGGTAGCGTTTCCACTCCGTTTTGTCTGACATCTGAACTCTCCTGGCGTGAAAGGAACGGTGAAGGGAAGTGTGAATGGACACTTCCATCTCATTCATGGGTTGCGGAGCTAGCTAATGGAACCAGTTGTTCGGTTATGCGCTTATGTGCAATGGTGACTTTAAAAAAAACCTCCCACCAGCACAACGTGTCCTATGGCTGACACGCAATGCTACTGTGAATGCTTGACCACAGGATGGCAGAGCAGGTAACCTGCAGCAGAATGTGCTGCCTGGTATGCCCCACAACTCTTTAAGCCAGTGCAATTAGAAGTGCCACCATATTGCACCAAGCCGCCAGTGTGACCGCAGCCTTAGGGGGCTTCCAGGAACTAGTTGTGGTAGTATTTTTGTAGCCTGTTATGAGTTTGAGAAAGCAAACCCTAGAAATGTGATATTTGATACAATTGTAGGCTTATCAGTTTTTCTAGCATGACATGGACAGAACTGATTAGTAGGCATAAGGACAAAACAAACAACCTTTGGATAACTACCACAGTTTCCTTTGGTAGTAGGAGTGAAATGAAGTCATATGATTAAGGTTCCAGTCATTAAAACCATATGTTTAAAGTCCCAGATCAATAGGGCTGAAATAAACATGGGTAAAAAAATATCAAGCAAATTCTCCAAATATGTTACTTTGCAAGCATTATACATTTCTACCTGGATCAGATGTGTGAGTTTGTTTTTGCATGAGACCTGGAATCACCCAAGTGTCTTAAATGTAATTAATTAATTTAACTAACTGAGCCACAAAGAATTGTATCTTTAATGTAATTAAGGATCTTTAATGCAATTAATTGATTAAACTCATTGAGACAAAGAAAGGTGGGATATAAATATTTTAATTAATTAATTTAAAATCTGCTGTTAAAGGTTCAGAACAAGACAGGGGTCTGTTTTTATTTATTTATTTTGATTTATATCCCACCCTTCCCACAAGCAGGCTCAATGCAGGTTACACAAGTCAACTCAACAAATGTAGTGACTATAATATACAATAAATAGGCTTAAATGGTTACAACAGAATAAAACAATCCCAAAACAGCCTTGGTTAGGGCTTCAGATGGTTGAATGATCACCTTGTAGATGATGCTGTGGTGGAAACAGATTTTTTGTGTGTGTTTGCCTGTGTTTTTTTTGGTGACAACTCTAGCACACTAACCAAGAGAAATGGACCCTACAATTAAGCAGTAGCCATTTGTTGCTAGTGCAGCACCTGTCTGAAGAGAAAAGAGGACTTCACTGCCTCTTAGTGGCTGAAAATGCTGTTTAGAGTACATGGAATGCAATCTCGGTACTAAAAATGTGCACCTACTGACCAGATCTTTAATAACATGCCTGGATTGCACTCTTCCCAAAAAGATCAGAGAAAAGCAAGTTTGGGAAAGACCACATTGTGGATGAATGCAGCGCAAGGTATTTTGGATGCTACCCACCCAAAAGGGGGTGGCGGCGGCTCCAGATTGGAAGCTGAAGCAATTGTACACTTCCATGTGGACAAGCAGCTCTTGTTACTCTGTTAAGGTGCCACCAGACTTCTGTTTGTTTTTGCTGCAGCAAAGCCCTCTAGAATGATCACTTCAGGTACTTTGCAAAACACATAGTGACAGTTACACAAGAAAATATGGGGCTTTACAAACAGCAAGCAAATAGTAGTCTGCAACATAGTGAAATGAAGTATTGCTGATTTAAGGGGGCATGCTTTGTTATACATTCCCACAATCTTTAAAGTATCAATACCACATCAATCACTGGAGGGAAATAATGTTAAATATGTAACAAAGATACTCTAGAACACAGTCAGGATACCAAGCTTACAACTAACACTAACCTGATTATATTTTAGTATCTAGTGCTCTCAATGCATAAGAACAAAAGAAGTATCCTGCTGGATCAGACCACTGGTCCATCTAGTCCATCATCCTGTTTCAACCAGTGGCTATCCAGTTGCTCTGGAGAGCCAACAAACAAGGTATACTAGTCAAGTCATTCCCCTGAGGTTGCCTCCAGGGTTTACTGACTCTGAATATAGAATTTAATATATGGAACACGGAAACTAAAAGACAATCAGTTTAAAATGTAATGTTCATTATGGTCTCTGTGGCTTTTAAAATTTGATAGGCTAGAAGTCAAACTGTTCTTAGAAGCAACTGTGAAATACCTACAATCAGACACATCAGTTTGAGTCTGTAGCAATTGTCATCTCTATTGTTGCTGTTTTCTGGCACTGTATTATGGATAAAGCAGTTTTTTAAAAAAATTGACACTGAACCAAAGGTATAAACTATTGACTTCTCATGAATGCTTTCCAGTTTCTTTGGTGTTTTTTTGTAGAGCACATCTGCACTACAAAAACATCAAGATATTTGTCATGGGTTCCCCAAGGAATCTTAGGAAATGTGATTTCTGAAGTTGCTAAGAATCCCTAGCCCCTTCAGAGAAGTATGATATCTATAGATTCTTCCAGCCACAAATATCAGTTAAAATTTTATTGGATATTTTTCAGAAGTGGGAGAAGCAAGGTCAAGAGGGAGAAAAACTGGGGTGGGCAAAAGTGGGAGGTAGAAAAGACCCAGAATGCAGAAAGGGATCCTCAAGGGGGAATGGAATTTGACCTTTTCCATGAATCCCTGTACATCCCCTACTAGTATATATTGATGTTACATTTTTTCATACATAATGCTGACAGACATATTTAGATGACTACCACCATTCATAAGTATATCTCTACATTTTGGGACATTTACAAATTTCAGACATTCACCACAATCCCCTCAGATGACACACAACAGTATTTACCACTGGAACAGTGCCATCCTAAGGAGAGTGACACTCTTGTAAGTCGACTGAAGTCAATGGGCTCTGAAAAGTGTAAAATCTGCCTTGTATTGCACTGGACATTTTTCCAATTTGCTGGAGTAAACATTTTCATAGGGTGTAGAGGCATTTTCAAGGAATACTGAGGTAGCAAGAGTTCATATTTGTTAATAAAGCTATATGTTTAATTTGACTGGATTCCTTTTCTCGTGGGTCATGTTTGACTAGATTTGCAAACCCATAGGTAAGGATATATGCCCTTTCATTTTGTATGGGGTCATACAAGAACAATATTATGATGGTGACTGGAAGCCCCAGATACTCTAATAACTATACAAATATATTAATAAGAACATAAGAGAAGCCAATGTTGGATCAGGCCAATGGCCCATCCAGTCCAACACTCTGTCACACAGTGGCCAAAAATACCAGGTGATATCAGGAGGTTCAGCCGTGGGGCCAGGACACTAGGAGCCCTCACACTATTGACCCCCCCCCAGCACCAAAAATACCGAGCATCACTTGCCCTGGAGTCCCTATCTATACCTTGTGGCTAATAGCCACCAATGGACCTCTACTCCATATGCTTATCTAATTCATCAGAAAGTATAATTATAAATTCCACTGTGCCCAGAGAAGAATGTTGTGAAAGATGGTCTATTCTCACTAATAGGAATGTTTTCATTAGAAGATACAGTTGGGGGTAGGGGGACAAACCAGTATGAAATTTCCACAGCAGAAACTGCTGAGTCCCAGTGTTAGACAAGTGGCTTCTTGTCACTCTAGGATATACAGCACAAATGTAATGACTGCTAAATTTCTGGGCCAGGGGAGCACAAAGCAACTCAGAATAGGACTTGTGGTGGTGGGAGAACAGTGTATGCATACATATTCCAAAATACTATCAAGCTGGTTGGCTGGGTGGGGTGCATGTGCCTGGAGGTGTAAGGTATGGTGCCTGAGGGTGAGCAGCTTGCTTTCTGGGCAATGCTGGTTAACTGAGTGTTCTGGATAATTAAGTATCAGATAACAAAACTTTTACTCTAATATTTTATTCCGCATATTTTGTGGAGCCTTCGAATTATTCAGAAACCTCTGTCTTGTCTGTGGGCAGATGCATTATTTCCACAGCAGAAACTGCTGAGTCCCAGTGTTAGACAAGTGGCTTCTTGTCACTCTAGGATATACAGCACAAATGTAATGACTGCTAAATTTCTGGGCCAGGGGAGCACAAAGCAACTCAGAATAGGACTTGTGGTGGTGGGAGAACAGTGTATGCATACATATTCCAAAATACTATCAACTTTCAGGGGGGTTTCCTGTTGAAAGCAGTCTTGGGTATGTGGGCAATTAAATAGGACTGGTAGGAACCCCCTCCCTTCTGCTTCATGGTTGAAGGAAAGGAGAAGAGTTAGAGGCAGAGCATGTGTTTTAGATGCAGAAGGTCCCAGGTCCAATCAATGGCATTTCTAGTTAAAAGAATCAGGTAGTAAGTGATGTGGAAGATGTTT